AATTTTATTATTATTATCAATGTTATTAATAAGAGTAATATTATATTTTTTTTGCAATATTTCGTTATTATTATAATAATTTTATTATTTTTTTATTATTATTATTATTAAATATGTTACATTAATTTTATAAATGAAAAATTTAAAAATGAAATTGATTTTTATTTTTATTATAAAAAATTAGTATATGCGAAAGGAATATGAATTATTTTGTTTATCGGTATTATATCATTATTTTTATATTATCATATTAATTAATATTATAATATTATTATATAATATTACATACATTTTAGAAATGAAATTAAAAAATAGAATATATATTTTTTTTTCATAAAAATAATGATTTTCTCAAATATTTAAATGCTGCAATTCATATTTTTATATTTATTGATTTAAATATTTTTTTTATAAGGAAAAATTAGAAAAAACGAGAAATAAACTTTTTGTCAAATATTTTAGTAATAATTGCAATAATAATATGTAATAATAGCTGTTCTGTTTAATTTGATTTTCTATTTTTTTGGATGCAATATAATCAAAGCATAATAATAATAAAGACCATGATTTATATAGATGTTTTTAATTATATATCAATTCATGTATAAATTTTTTAAAATCTTTTTTTTAAAAATATTAATACAGTAAAATATTTTTATATTATTTTATTGTTATTTGATTTAAATTATATACATTTAAACCTACTTAATTTATATGAAATATATATTTTTTTAATATGAAATAAAAGTATATGTATTGAATAAAATTAGTATGTAAATCTATTATAGTTTTTATAATTTCTTATAGGAAATTTACTATTTTAGTTTTTTTGTAAGAAATATATTACAACATATTACAATATTCGACATGTCTGTGTATAATTTAATTTTATTTATATATCTTAATATAAAATATAATCAATTCCTGAAATAATTTTTTCTATTATTTGTTATCTTAATGTTTTTAATTTAATAAAAGATAAAAGTATATCATATATAAAAAAATATAATTAATTATGAAAAAAATGTTAATACATTATTTATATGAATTAATTGAATTATAAATGCATGTATTAATATTTTTTTTCAATACTTTTTTATATTTAATAAAAATCAAATAATTTTAAAATTACAATATTATATATTAAAATTATTATAATGTTATATATATATTTAATTTGTGCTTACCTTCAGAAAATATACATTTAATTCACTAGTTTAACTGTTGATCTATAATTAATTTACAGTTACACATAATTAATTTATATGACAATTATTACAATTGTTGATTTATTGATACTAATAAATAATTATATCTTATCTTATTTTATCTTATCAATATGCTAGATATTAGATTAAGATATTATATTGTACGACTATTGTCGTGCAATATTGCATATTGTATACTGCTATATATAATTTATATATAATCTATGTAATATTTAAAAAATTATATTTAGCATAAAATAACTCAATATAATAATTCAATTTAATAACTATTAAATTTAATAATTATAAGTGTAAAAGTATATGAATATAAAATTTTATTTATCTAAATATTTATATTAATATTTATATTTATATTAATATAATATTTTTAATATGATATTTATGTTATTTATTAGTAATGTTTACTTAATTAATATAATTTTATTTTGCTTAATAAATTTATATTTCATCATTTTCTGAAACTTTTTCATGGAAGTAACATTCACATTATCTTTTTCTTTTATTTCATTCTATTTATTGTGAATGTTATTTTTAATTTAAATGATAAATACCAATTCTTGGAAAATCTATCTCCATGAATAACTGATAATATACACTGATAATATATATAATATATAAATTAAACTAAAAAACCTACCAAAGTAATTATTAAAAAATCACTATAATTATTAAAAATAGCAACATAATATTCTATTTAATAAAAATTATGATTTATTATTATTATTTATGATTTTATTATTATTATTATTATTATTTAATAATATACTTGATATACAGTCTTAATCTAACAGAAATAAAGCATTTTTTTTCTCTTTTTTCTTCTTTTTGTCTACAATATAATTAATAAAATAGATATAATTTTTATATTTTAAATTATTAAATTTATATAAATAAATTTAACAATATATTTATTATTTGCTATATAATTTATGATAGAAATGTACGAACAATAGCTTTAATTTCTTGTCTACACATTAGACAATATGTAAGAGATGGCGCACAATAAACACAAGTTGCTAAATGTCCACAAGGTAAAAATACAATAGCTATTTCTCGATCCATACAAATTTTACATAAACGAGCTTCTTTTAATTTTCTATTTTCTTCTTCTAAAGATGCTGAAACAGTGGATAATATATTTCTTTTATTAATTATTAATTATATCTTTAATTAATACCTAAGTATATTTTAATTAAAATATAATAATATATTTTAAAATTATTTAAAATATATTTAAATATTTAATTATATTAAATTCACTAAATTTTATTGAAATTAAATTATTTGATTTTATAATTATTTTATAATCTTTTTGCTAAATATATTTTAACATAAAATTATTATCATTACTTACTAATTTCCTTGAAGTTAACATTTGTCTTTCTGTTAGCAGTATGATTAAGTATAGTGACCTCATTTTCAGTTGAATGTTCTTTATATTCATTTTTTTTCATATCATTACATTTTTTTATATTGTTTGTTTGTTCCCTTAACACATGATTTAAGACAGTTAATTTTAAAAACAAGAGATTCAATTTTATTTATTAAATGATTTATTACTAACTTTGATTCTTCTGTAATTTGCCCACAAAGAACATCTTCTATAAGTTGATCAGGATGTGTGTATGGTATTCCTACTTCTTCTATTCGTTTTTTCAAAGCTGTTTTTATTCTATCTATATGTAATCCAATTTCTAAAGCTACCTAATGAAGAAAACTATATATTATAATAATAATAAATATATTTTAAAAGTTATCAAAAATAAAATAAATAATACATTACTGTTACTAATGGACTCTCTAATAATTTTTTTAATGTTGCTTCTGTAATTTCTAATGAAGATGAAGAAGTAAGTGACATTTCAATTTTATCTGTATTTTGATCTTCTGTTATATCTTCAAAAATCTATATAAATGTAAAATCTAATTTAAAATTTTTAGAAAATATATAAATGCAAATCGTATAATATTTACTTACTGATTGATCTAAAGGTGGTCTGTTATTAATGCATTGTTTAATAAATTCTTGTCCCCTTACAAGATTTACAAATTCACATTTAGGAAACCATTTTGCATGTTCAATCCATGCATCATCTGTTGTTTCCCAATTTCGTAAGCCACCATCACAATGAAAACATCTAACATGATCACCATATCCTATTATAATATTTTAATATTATGAGTTTAATTTAATTTAATCTATATAAAATTACTAAATCTTCATTTTATATTATTTGTACCATCATAATAAAATCCTGCACTAGCTAATATTTCAGGAGTTTGTTTAATATTTTCTGGCCAGCCATTAAAAGTATGTAATCTTCCTTCATATGTTGCACAATCTAGTTTTTTAGGAGTTGTATGTGTTTGTATTCCTAAGTCCGAGAGATTTGATGTTATATCAGATATTAATTTTACATTATTTAAATATAAATTATCTAATAAAAGAAATGTTAAAATAAGAAATAATTAAAAAAAGAAATAATCTTTCTGGAAAAAATAATTTTTTTTATATAAATACCATCTTTATCTTGATGAACATAAAAATTACAATCAGGAAAATATTTCCTATGTTTTTTATTTGGATCATCACCAAGCTCCCATTTTTTTAAAATACCTCCACAATATATACATTGTACCTATAAATAATATAAATTATATAGAAATAAAAATATAATATTATATATAATATATGATATTTAGAATATTCTCAATTCTGTATATGCAAATATACATATACGCATAATATATATAATATATAACAATATAACAATATATATAATATAATAATACAATAAATATTATTATTTATTCTTTAAATTCATTATTACTTCATCATCATGTTGAAGATAATAAAATCCAGCTTTGGCAAGGTTTTCAGGTAATACAATAGAAGAAAGTGGCCAATTAGTAAAAGATTGTAACCTATGTGACATGATTCTATATTTCTTTTGAGATTCTTTATATTGATAAGAACTTGTAGATTGATATTCAATTATATTATTCTGTGATATTTCTGTTGATGATGATGCCAATTCATTATTGTTAATAGATATTGGAATTAAAGGAATATTACAAGTACTAGAAGGATTTTGAACAAAAGAACAATTAGGTTCAGCTAATCGATGACGAACTATAGCTTGATCACCATAATTCCAATCAGAAATTTTTACTTCACATAAAAAACATTGTACTTCTAAACCATGTCCACTATAATAAAATCCAGCTTTTGCTATTCGAGCAGCATCAACTGCAGCATTTGCTGGCCAATCAGTGAAAGTTCGTAGTCTATTTTCTTCAACATTCATTTTTGAAATTCATTTATATTTATATATCAATTTTATTAATAGATCAAAGGATTGATTAAATTTTAATATATTTGATGTAGAATAAATGATCATTATATTTTATATTAGGAGCTCGATTATTTTAGAAATATAGAAACATACTAGTTCAATATAATAATCAATTAAATACGTCACAAAGTGTAGACTGACAATAAAGTATAAAAATATATTTTATATTCTATATAAACTAGTTAAAAACTTTTATTTCTACGCGTGCGCAAAAGTTAGGATTTTTTTATTAGGTTTTTTATATTGTCTGTTTTATTCAGATTTTTATTTAATATATTTTTATAATATAATTAAAATGATTATCATTTTATAAAAAATTTAATTATATAAAATTATATGATATATATAAAATATTTATGTAACATGTAAAATATTATATATATATATCATATATATATCATATATATGATATATATATGAGTTGAAACATAAGTTGAGAGTCTAAATAATTGATTGTATCGTTCTTTAGTTATAAGTCATATAAAATATTATACTTTTTTAAAATGCTGATATTAAAAAATATAAATAAAGTAAGTTTTTTTGTAAAGTTGAACATTTATTATTAATTATATTAATTTACAATAATATTTGTAATAAAATTAGTTTGTAATAATTAATTTCTAAATGAATATTATAATAGTGATAATTTTATAATTTTGTTCTTATTCTATTTTATTATTTATTTAATAAATATAACTAATATATGTAATCTATATGTTGTAATTTGCAAAAATTTATTTATAAAAAGATTTTTTATTGTTTAGCAGTTTTTTTTTTCATGTTTAGATTTCTTTGATCAACCAACGATTGTATAGTTCTAAAGTAAAATTAAATGATGTCGTTATAGTTAGTGCAACTAGAACACCTATGGGATCATTTCTTGGAGAATTATCTGGTTTATCTGCACCAAAACTTGGAGCTATAACTATACAAGTATCCATATTACTTATATTAATTAAAGTAATAAGAGAATTGTTATAAATATAAATAATATGTATAATTTCAATAGGCAGCAGTAGAACGAGCTGGAATTTCCAAAGATAAAATTACAGAAATATATATGGGAAATGTTTGTCAAGCTTTTTTGGGTCAAGCACCAGCAAGACAAGCTACATTATTTGCAGGTTTTTTTATAACATTATTATATTATTATATTATATATATAATGACACAAATATTTATAATAATATAAATATATTTTTAAATTAGGACTTCCTAAATCAACAATATGCACAACAGTTAATAAAGTTTGTGCCAGTGGCATGAAAAGCATTATGCTTGCTTCTCAATCATTACAATGTGGACATCAAGAAATTGTTCTTGCTGGTGGTATGGAATCAATGTCTAATGTACCATTTTATTTTCCTCGAAAAGAATTAAATATGGAAGTATAAAATTAGAGGTATAACAATTTTTTATTATCTGATATATATATATAAAGAATATTTCTTATGTATTTTTATATTTGATTTTAATATTAATTTATTCATATTCATCATTTGTAATATAATAGGATGGTATTATATTTGATGGTTTAACTGATGTTTATAATAAATTTCATATGGGAAATTGTGCAGAAAATGTTGCTAAAAAATTAAATATTACTCGTGATGAACAAGATGAATATGCTATTAACAGTTATAAACGCAGTGCTGCAGCATATATAAACAAAATATTTCAAAATGAACTTGTTTCTGTTCCTGTGCCTCAAAAAAAAGGCAATCCTAATAAAATAATTAATGAGGATGAAGAATATAAAAAAGTTGATTTTGTTAAGTTTGCAAAATTGAATACAGTTTTTCAGGTATTAATTTTAATTAATTAAGATTTATTAATTTAAATTTTAAATGATAATTTTTAATTATTTATTATAAAAGGAAAATGGTACAATAACTGCTGGAAATGCATCAACTTTAAATGATGGAGCTGCTGCATTAATTTTGACAACTACAACTATTGCTGAAAAAATGAATTTAAAACCTTTAGCACGAATTATTGCATTTCAAGATGCTGCAATTGAACCTATTGATTTTTCTATCGCACCATCTTTTAGTATTTCTAAGGTAAATTTTTTGTAATATATATAAGATATTTCGTTTAATGCATTGCGCGATTTTTCAGTTATTTGCGGCCATTAATAAAAGAATATTTTAAAAAAGTTATTAATATTGAATATGATAATAATAATAAAAATTCCAAAAATAGTCTTTCATGACAAGACCAAAATCATCTTTAAATAAAAGTATATATTTTTTCCCCAGTATATTATAAAAAACATTAAAAAAAATTTATAAAAAATTTATAAATATATAAAAAATTATAAAATTTATAAATAGTACACTCAAAAATATATTATATATTTTTATTAGCAATAGAAAAATTATTTTAATAAAATATCATATAATATATGTTTTTCTGAATATTTGAATTTTCTGAATACATTTAGGCTCACAATTATCGAATTGTATGATGAATCATTGAAAAGCATATTATGAGTAAAAAAGTCTAACATATCATTACTTCTATAAATATTTCGTTAAAAAAATATGAATTAAAATATAAATCTGACAATATGTAAAATATACGGCTTTACGACAACCGAAACTTATCTAATTTGAATCTAACTCAATTTGATAATGTAATCTTATACATACCAATACTACAGTAATATTTCACAGCTTCACTTTAATTATTGGAACATGAATTAGAGATGTGTTTTTCGATCGAAAAATTATGTTTCAAAAATTACAATAGTTGTTGTTCGGATTCATAAATTTACGATTTTTGAGATATTAATAAAAAATGTTGTTATTACATTGAATTATACATATCGATGGCAACATGTGTATCAATATGCGATTGTCATTTATCTACTGTTTCTATAAACATATTGTGATGGCCAATATTTAAAATATATAATAAATAAATAATACTAATCACCAATGAATTAATATATAATTTAGTGTTTATCTAGAGAATTTCGAATCCATCAATTCCGAATCGCAGAATGCGAAAATAAATAATATAAAATAAACCTTCAATCACTGAAATTATAATAACTTATATTGATAATGATATCAGCAAAGCAGAAAAAGAAAGATTCATAAACAATATGACGTGAATAACATAAGTGTAAAGTATTGAAGAAAATAGTTAAAATAGAAAAATATGATATCATAATGATATGTATCAGTTTTTATGATAAAAAAATGTATATGAGAAGAATTTGATTTATTCGAATATATAATTAATATAAAATCTTAATTCATATTTAAATATATGTAATGTTTAATGACAAATGTATTTGTAAGTAAAATGATCTTTTTATAAAAAAAATATATTTTTTAGCATATGCTAATTTGATTTATATTTTTATATTTTTGAATTTGTGATAGTAATAATTACTCATGTGAGACATTTCTATTTATTTATTGTTTTTCTACAATATATATAATTTGATAAACATAAACTAAAATATTATAATATTTTAATGTTTTCTATAATAGATTGAAAAAAATATATATATATTCCTTTAAAAAGTCTAAAGTGGTTTTGGTTTCTCTATAAAAATAAATTATTTTTAAACTTATTTTTTTAAACTTTTTTTATTACATAGCTATAAATAGTTGAAAAATTGCAAATTATTTTTAGATAAAAATTTTGATAAAATAGTTTTAGATAAAACTTTGCTACAATAGAATATTAAATAATATTTTGATGACATATAACTGTATGATGACATATTTATATTAATAATATGTATTTTATTTTTTAAAAATATATAATATATTTTTAGTTATTAAAAAATACTGGAGTTAATAAAAATGATATAGCTCTTTGGGAGATTAATGAAGCTTTTAGTGTAGTAGTAATTGCAAATCAAAAATTATTAGATCTTGATCCTAATAAAGTGAATATTCATGGTGGTGCTGTATCTCTTGGTCATCCTATTGGGCAAGTATTTTTAATTAGGTTTTTTTACGTATTTAAACAGATTTAAATTATAAATATTTTTAAAATTTAAGTATATAAAATTAATTAAAATTTAAAAATTTATAATTTTAGTATGTCTGGAGCTCGTATTGTGGTACATTTAGTACATGCTTTAAAAACTGGAGAAAAGGGTATTGCATCTATTTGCAATGGAGGTGGTGGTGCTTCATCAATCTTAATTGAAAAATTGTGAGTTCATGTTACAAATTTTATATAATATAATGAATGATACTTATATACTTATATATTCAATCTTTTATATTTTATTAATTATTTTATATAATATTTTATATAATAATGACTGTATACAATATTTTATTTTTTTATTATGCATGAAGATATACAATTTTTATATTAATATAACTTATTTTTTATAATATATTGTTATAAATAGATAATATTGTAAAAAAAAATTATTTTTGATAGAATAAAAATTTTTATTCTACAGGTATCATACAATATCTTTTCCACCAGTATTAACATTATACACAAAACATCCTTGTTCACTTTGTGATATTTTAAAAAAGGAATTGCAATTGCATTTTTTTGGTCGTTATCAATTACAAGAAATTGATATTACTGCATCTGGTAACGAACAATATCTGAAATTATACAAATATGAAATTCCAGTTCTTTTTTTAGAAGGTCAATTTCTTTGTAAGCATTATTTAGATTCAGAATTATTAGAAAAAAAATTACAAGAATTTAGTCAAAATTAAAAATTAATATATAATTAAAATATACAATAAATATATTATAAAATATTATCTTATTTAAATATAATTAATATGTATAATTTTTTATGATAATCGAATATGTAAACAAAAAATTAGTGATCATTAATATTTTGATACTTTATTAAAAATAATAATTATAATAATATTTACAATATGTAATTATTATTAAGTATATTGAAATATTTGATGTAATGAAGATTAGTAATTGTCAGTTAACAAATCTTCATTTACTTTAAGTCATCTCATTTTCACTCTCCCTTGCTATCTCTTTCCTCTTACTTCCCTTTCTCTCCGCCATTAGGGTCTACATATTCTCTTTCCAATGGGTAAGCAAGTGACCACATACACTAGCATACTGAAGATCGGCAGTGAATTGGTGAATGCACGCATCGAACTTTCTTTGCTGTCGTTCGTTCTTTCTTCAGTGCGTGCCTTACGTGAATAACGTAAAGTATATTTTTGTTTCATATTGCTTACGTGGCATATTGTAGCAAATGTTTTATTAAAATTTTTAAAACGTACCGAAAAAGAGAAATAAATTAAAACTAACTACTTTTCAAAATCGTGAAAATCAACAATGAATGTTGTGTATTATTGAAGTCTATTGCAATTATAGTATTGAAGTTAGCCAATGCCCTGTTTGATTTTTCGTGGGGGCAATGTAACCAATATGTATCAAGAATAACAGGGATAAATGTGAAACGGATCTTGACTTTATTCAAAAAGAATCGTACATTTAATAATATGAGTATTCATAAATTCTTTTAATAGAAATAAAAAAAGAGAAGAAAAAATTCCAGAAGAATTCTAATAAAAGTGAAATTGAAATAATAATAAAATAAATAAAATCATCATAAAAAATGAGATTATATGAGTGCAGTGAATAATATAATTGAATATATTATCATTTTTAAATGAATTTAAAATAACGAAAAAAATTTAATTGAAAATATTAAAATAAAAACAAATGTTGCTTCAAAATATTAACGGTTATTTTGAATTTTGTAATATTATATTTGTTGAGAATAAAATTTATAATTATGAAATTGAAAATGTAATAATATAATAGAGGTTAATAGTAAATTGAATTTTTTTTATTTTAATAGGCGCGCTTTGAGCTAAATAAGCTCATAATATTTTTAGATGGCGTTATTCTCAATCTTAATCAATTATAAATATTAGAGCGTACTATACTTTAAAAAATATTGATAATTCCTAATTATTTAAAATAAATAAATATGTAAATTATATATGTAAATTATAATATGATATAGGTAAAAAAATATATATGTACCATATATCTAATTCTTGAGTTTAATAAAGAATAGATCAAATATAAATTGAAGAATTAAAATTTTAATTTAAATGAACAAAAATTTACGAAAATAAAAATGAAATCATTTATTAATATTTACAACATTATATCTTTTGTGGACAGTTTTAGTCAAAATTCAATGATTTTAATTTTTCGACGTTTTTTCTGAAGATTCACAAGGAAGGTATGAAAAGTATCTAATATTTTAATCAATAAAATTTTATTCATAATTATTTTTATAATAATTTCATACAATTTATACAAAATTTCACAAATATATTCCATAATTTAACAAAAGATATTTAAAGAAGTTTTAAATTATATTGAGATAAAAAATTTCTTACATGCAAAATTATATATAAAACAACTGTTATCATAATTATAATTATTATAACTTTCAAATATTAATATGCATTTATCGTATATATGATATGTATGCTAGTGTATTAATTATGTAAAAAATATATATTCAATACAAAAAAATAGATAAAATATTTCTGTTAATTTTTTTTTATTATTTGTTATTGATTTTATATTTTTAAATCAATATGTAAAAATAGTATAATAGAATAATAATATAATTATTATTTAAATAATATAAATATAATAATTATTTATATATTTATATAAAATCTAAAATAAATAAAATATATATATATATATAAAATATTATATTATATATTATTATTATTATATATATGATATAATTATTATATTATAATATAATAATATATATAATAATAATATTATATATATAACAAAAACTTTTTTTTTTAATTCACTTATTATCATTCATTATTTTTTAATTGATAATTAAATGAATGTTTAAAAATATTGATAAGTATAAATGATAATAATAATATAAATATAGAAATTCATGATAATACTTAACATAAAGTTGAAAAATAACTTTATGCGTTTTTATGATGAATAAGAAAAATAAAAAATTTATTTGATAATTGATATTGATGATTATTTTTTTAAGATGATTTATTTGTTTGATTAGTTGAATTGCGTAAGAATATTCTTAAGTTGCTTGTATGATTCACGAATGAATTATGTAGAATCATAGCCAACTGAGGTCCGGTTACTGGTTACCTGTTACTCGAACAAGTGTGCTGGCAACTGACTCGCTTAAAGTATCGATCATGACAGTCGCTTTGTTTCACAACTTTTAAATCGATTTTCAACAAAAATTTCAGTCAATTTTAATTTTGCTAACCATGCATCGTTAAAATATGTAATAAAATTTCAAAAAATTAAAAAATATACTTTTCATATATAAATCATACTTTTATCGTTTTTAAGTTTAAATAATAAATAATGATTAATAATTAGATTAATTATTAATCATATGATTATTATTCGATATAAATATATTTTGCATTTTTTTGTATATATTCTATTTCATTGTTTTATTTTAATTAACAAATTACATTATTATAATCTTAATTACTTTTTAATATTATTTTTGTAATTTTTATTGCATAAGAAACTATAATTTAATAATTAAATATATATTATTTGGTAATTTAATATTGCCGAAGTTCTTAATATGCTAGATTAAATTATAGTAATTTTATTGAAATAGTAAATGAATCAATAAATTAATATTATCGTTTTTAGAAATTATAAGGCCTGGAACAATTAAAAATTGTAGTATTTACTATTTCTATTTTATTTTGTTATTTTTCTAAAATATAATTTTTCAAAAAATTATTTCTCAAAAAATTATATTTTACGATATATTTTAATTTTATTGATATAACTTCTTTTTAATTTACTATTAATATATTTCTAAAAGTACATTAAAAAATTGCATACCTCGATTAGTATATTATATTCATCTATTATTTTATAAAATGTGGAAGTAACTAATAATAAATGCAAAATTCCATTTGTCAAATGTTAAAAAAAGTAATGAAAAAAATGAAACATATTCTTTATCAAATTTGATTTGAAATTAATTGATAAATTATTGAATTCATGATTAATGAATTTTTAATTTTTTTTATTTGAAAATTTTTAATTCTTTATTCCATTCTATAAAATTTATTTCGATGAAAAATTATGTTCTTTTAAGGATTTATAAATATATTCAATTTTTCATATGATAAAAATAATCTTAGAAATAATAATAACAATAAAATAAAAAATAAATATATATGATCTTTAAAGGTGAAATATAAATAATAGAATTATCATCATATCTATGTATTTTTAATATAATCGTGTTATTGCTGTTTAGATATAGTAGGATAGTTTATAAATAATAGTTTATAATAATAATAAATTTGCAAATTGTCTTTAGCACAACATTGTTAATGGTTTTTCATAATACATGTAACATCGTTGAAGAAGCTACAGTTTATTTTCTTTAACTTCCAATGTTCATATGTATTTCTTTATATAATAAGATTAAACGTCAATTTTAATTATTTATTAAAAAATATTAATCGTATAGATATTTTATTGTTCAATATTTTCAAAGTGTAGCAAAATAAATTATATTTGATAATTCACAAGAAATTAAAAGAGTAATTTAATTATATTAATTCTTATATGTAAAATAGATTTTTATAATTTAGAATCGGTATACTTTCATTATATATATTCATTATAATATGATGCAGATATTTGATTCTCAGGTCAAGTGAATGTAGGACAAGTTCAAATGTTGAAAAGAAAAGGTAACGGTTCACTTTACTCGTGGAATGAAGTTAAATTGATCGTAAAAATTTAAATAATTAATGTAAGATATGATTAATAAATATTTATAGATATTATATGTATATAATTAAATAAATATTATATATATATGATTAAATATTTATAATTAAATTTTAGTTTTTTCGTTACAGTAATTAATCAAAATGACTTCAAGTGAAGATGGTGATTTGATCGATCTTGGAAACGATAATTGTGTATCACGAGTATCAATTCAAGAATCATCATCTGAGGAACAAGAACATCTTCTCGATGTGTGTCTGCCAAAATTAGAACAAGCATTATCATTAACTAGAAAACAAGAACAAATACAATGTATAAATGACAATAGTGATGTATTAGTCACTTTAGGTCACGATCAAGTAGTACCTATTCGTAAAAGAATTGATGTCGTTTCATCCGATACCATAAAAA